TGTCACCTGCAAGTGTCACCCATCTGAAGCCACTCGAAACGAACAGTTTCACGGTGCATCCAGGTTGTAGCCCATCAAAAAACAAGCAGAATGTCTAAAATGCCACTACAGAACACCTATACTAACAATGGCAAATTGGAAGATTATTATCGCAATACATCTGTATAAATTGCACAGGTGTGTTTCTCTAGTGTCCATGACAAATTCTTTCACACGTTTATAACTCTTATGTCCCCTGGAATCACTACACTAGAGCTGAACTCACAATCACTAATCCACATTGAATAAGAGTTCGTGTTAAAACCCTGTTGCTGGCCAAGTTCATCCCTTTCTCCGCTCTGTATGTGCTGTTCTCACCTTGGTTTCCAAAAATGAGGCTTGAGATCACTTTCATTTTCTTAAGAACAGCGGAGCTTTTTGAGGTAAGCTTTTTGGCCCTTTGCCAATTTAGTGTCATGCAGGAGCAGTAGGAGAGGGCAGAAGAGAAAGGTATCAGAGCAGCTGCAACACGATTACATCCTGCTTTTCGATGTGCTGGTCACATGACCAGAGAACCAATCAAGAGTTCACCAGGAGAGGGGCGTGAACTCCACATGGCTCAAGTGGCAGCTGGAGCAAATGCAAGTGGGGCAGTGCTGACGTCCAGTAGCAAACACCGAGGTTTGAGAGCAACTAGCACAAGCCAATAGGCAGTAAAGGGAAGCCGCCAACCACAAGGCTTGATGGAACCAATCACGAAGCGAAGTCCACCACAGCAAAACGCGTAAGAATCACAGTTAAGGGGAGACACTGGTCTGAAATTTTTTTTTTAATTTTCAGTATTTTCAGCTGAAGTTTTAATACAATATGTATTTGTCACAGCTGAAAAAAAATATGCAATTATTTTTCTTGCTATCACTTTTAGATTTTTAAGTATTAACTGTTACATAAACTTGCATTCTGCCCAGCCTTTTGACATCTTCCTCATAAAATATCGCTACAAATTTGATATGACAGCATTCCATGAAGGCCAGGGAGTGCAACAAAACCATAATTTTATTTTTTGCTTCATTGGTACCAGAATTATGGCCTTAACAAGTATACTCAATAAAAATCTGAAACTGTTGCTTAAGTTTGTTGCTAATTAAATCACTATTGTAAATAAAAATATTACACTTTTTTGGTTTTCTTGCACTAATCAGTGTATAAGCTTTCAAATGCTGCAAGAATCAAAAGATACTGTGGGCAATGGCTTAGGGTGTGATGAAAAATGTTGTTTTGAGAAAACGAGAAAAGAAGTTTAGGAACATGCTGAGCACTTATATTAAACAAGAAAAGGTGTGAATCGGTGTATTAACCATGTTAGAAGCCACGAGGAATGTAGTCATCATCATTCTCCTTGGTGCGCTTTCTTTTCATGGCATGCTTGAAGTTTTCAGCATGCTCATGCTTCTTCTCCGATGCCACTAGTCGGCGACTGTCCTTTTCAGAGCATTTTTCAGCGGCCACAACAGCCTGCTGCAGGTGCAGCTCCTTCAATATGGCGGCATCTGCTCTCCCTTTGGCAGCGTTGAACCTTGCGACAGCTTCGGCCACAGCAGCTTCAACGGTGAAAAGGAACACGTGTTTGTTTTTGGACACAAGCGACCAGATGACGGAGTGCAGGCTCTCGTTTGGGTTCTGTGTTTTGCCTCGCTGCCAACGCTCCAGCAATTTCTTGTCAGAGAGGCGCGTGTAAATAGGCCGCAAGCATCAACCATATACTCTGGCAGGTTGTAGCGATGATTCGGAGGAGTCTCCTGCTTGGCAACAGCCTTGTTGTACTTGCACCATGACTCTTCACCAGTTGGGCAGTGAGAGTGCTGAGGGCTTGCATCAGCAGATGCTACGTGATAAAAGCTTGCCCAGACAGCATTATTCATGGCCTCAATGCTTCCTTGGTTGCTTTGTAAAGCCCATCCATAATATGACGTGAGCTTTGTGACCAGCTCGCCAGTCAGTTCGCCCTTGCCGCCAAGGCTTGGCTTTCCTTCGGCTCTTTGTTTTTGCAGGAGGTTTGGAAGTGCTGTGCCCATGCGCTTATGCACATCGTTGACACAGTCCTCTTTTTCTATTGGCATGAAGCCATATACCTGTGCCTCCTGCAGACTGTTGAAGGCCCGGCGGTCTCCATCACACAACATGGTAGTGTAGCGGAGCCCATGTCTCTCCAATGAGCGGCCAAATAAAATTTGTGCTGCTTCCACCTCCATTTGTCCTGGCTTACTGGAGGTATTCTTTTGGCAAGTGTGACCAGCTAGCCACTCGGCATACCTTGGGTTGTCCTCCTTCAACCCTAGCTGCCAGCCCAAACAAAACTTCGATAGGACGACGAAGTCGAGCACATAACCTGTGAATAGTTCAATCACGGTCCCTACACAAATATGGGATGAGTGGCCCCTGGTCAGCCAAATCCTATCAAAGGAAACGGCGATATTTCCAGGATTTCCATAGTTGAGTTCGGAATACACCGTTTTCACGGTGCTCACGCAGTCGTCAATAACGCGCGCGGCAGCCTTCTGGGCAGCAGGGTTCATTTTCAATTTCACATAATCCTGGTATGTCTTGGTGTGCAGGCCTCTCCGTGAAATATTTAGGGCAGAAAAAATATCGTTGAGCACAGTTTGCCCGTTTCCTGTGCTCATTGCCGCGCGAACCGCGAGCACGTTAATTTCGAAGGGGCCGTGCGCTGCGTCCCCCCCTGCTCTCGGCGAGCTCTATACGGTCCTCAGTTTACCGCACTCGTCACATGTGAGAACAAGTTTCGCGGCTATGCCATATTCGCCATCTTCTTTGGAGATTCTGCCAGGCTTGCCACACACACCGCTCTTCATACACTGAAGAAGTTCTTTGACCAACTCTAAGCTAACGACGGTGAACGGGGTACCAGGCGTTGCGGCTCCATCTGAGTCTCGAAAAAAAGACCGCTTGCGTTTTGTGGCAGACTTCGATGAAAGATCTTGCAGAACATCGCTCGCACGGCACTCGATGGCCACTTTTTCAGCGTCAGAAACCAGGGGAGTGTCGCCGCGCACAGCTCTCGTGTGATCTTGGGACGCGGCTATTGCGTCCGCGATCGCGGGTGCCGCGGCGGTGATAGCGCTGGCACAGCCTGCTTCTTCCAAGTTCTCGGCGGCAGAAGGTCTCGCTGGTGATAAGGTGCGGGCTCTCGGACACCGTTTTCGCCTTTTTTCGAACGCATGAGCACTCCGGAACTTCCGATCACCGCCTGCCATTGCACCGAATGCACGGCCGTTGTTAGGCCTCTACGCAAAATGGCGGCTTGCACGTTGCTGTCTAGCAGACGAATCCCTTCGCGTCCAATAGGAAACCGGGAACTGCCACATGTGACAAAAACGCACCAATGATGTGCGAGTATTCAGTTTTTCTTTATGCGCGATAGCTGTGTTGTTGCTAGATGAAAAACGTTCTTCTGCTAGGAACAGATAATAGAAAAATGCGTCTTTGAAGTGAGACCAAAATGGCCGCGCTACTTGGTGAGATTCTCAGGCGCTGCAGCGTTGAATACGACCATTTTTGAGGTGGTTTCGGAAGCGAAAATGGTCATCAAATTGACTTTGCGACCCAATAACTCGACAAATACACATTACAGGGCTATAATATTTTAGGAACAGCTTCCTTAGACCTTAATGGTTATGAAAAAAAATACTTTAAAAAATCGGTTTTTCGGAAAATTTTCGGCCTCCCATACCCGTGTCTCCCCTTTAGCAGAAACCCACAACAGCAAAAAAGCACATACAACACTACAACACATAAAAACACTGAAAGAATGCCCCAGCTGCACTGTTTCTACCAATTTATTGTAGCAGAACTGAGTTTTGTTACCGTATATACTCGATTCTATCGCGCCCTCGATTGTAACGCACACCCGATTTCCACGACGAAAAAAAAAGTAAAACATCAACTGCAACGCGCACCCATTTTTCTCGCTGGCCCGCACGATCACACCAATCGAAAAAACAACTCCTTTGGGAGCGTGTTGCATTTAAATATGAGGTACGAGGGAAGCTTGTGCCTATCTGACGTGTAACAAAGCATTGCCGTCACTGTAGTTTTACCGTGGACCGATGTCAGCACGCGAACTTCCTTCGCCCCCTTCTTCTCGACAATTGTGGTGCCAGGCATGTCGAAGTAAAGAGGCGTCTGATCGGCATTCCCGATTTGCCCAAGCAAGTAGCCGTTGTTGTGCCGCAAGTTTAGGACGAACCTCTGAAAACTGCGAAGCTTTTCATCGTACTCCTCTGCAAAACTTTTCGCATATGGCCGTTCACCTTCGAAGGGAAAAGCCTTTCCTTTTCATAAAGTTAGTTAGCCAGGACCCGCTCGCTTTAAACTGGCTCCACATTAGACCTTTTTCTAAGGCTAATTGCATAGCCCGTCCTTGGAGCGGTTCTGTCGTCACGGGCCGCTCTGCCGCTCGCTGCTCAAGCACATACTTACCGAGCAGTTCTTCAATTTGCGGAAACCGACCCTGCTGTGGTCCACTGAAGCCTTTGCGTGAAGCTTTGCTGTCGACAATCTTCTGCTTTTGTTTTTGCCAGTCCCGCACGCACGTTTCGGGAACTCCGAACTATCGCGATGCGGCCCGCTTTCTGCACACGCGAAGACTGTTCTTTTAAAAGCGGCATCGTGGTGGACTCGAGTTTTTGGAGTCGGCTCTTCCATGCCGTCGATGCTAATGCACTACAAGATGACGAACTCTTCAGCACACGTACGAAGTGCTGCACATGGGAAACACATAGGCAGAAATGGCCGACGCGCCATGACGACGCACGTAGGGGGCGGCCATTTTGGAAATGCCGATGGCAATAGAATGGCCGTATTCATTTTTTTTTTCGTACTCGATTCTAACGCGCATGCGATTTATGAACTTGCTTAACCGGAAAAAAGGTGCGCGTTAGATTCGAGTAATTACGGTAATTTTTCTGACAATCACAAAACTGCATCCACCGTCAACTCACCCATGCGCACGCCGACCAGCGGAATGTAGTGGTTGCGGCCCGACGAGCTCCAGGAGAGGCAGAGGGGCGGGTTCCTGCGGTTGCAGGGCCCCCCGCGGCACTGTTCAGGCGCCACCAGGCTGGGCAGGAAGAGGGCGGCGTAGTCGCCGGGGCTCTGCATGCCTGCCAGCGAGTCGAGCAGGATGATGGGCCTCCGCAGCACGTTCGCCAGGCTGAACACGTGGATGTTGCGCAGCCCCAGCAGCTCCCCCTCGGGCGGCAGGAAGTCGGGGTCGCACTCAGCTATGATCGCGGGCCACTCCTTTTCGTCCACAAAGTCCTTGAGCAGCTCCTGCAAGAGGAGGGTGACAGTATGGCGCTCACTATCGACAGCGACAGTATCGCTATCGACAGTAACCTGTAGCAAACATTCAAAGCAATACATCACGGCGCTGGCGTCAGTACTATCGAGTCCAGGCCAGGCTGCGGGGCATTCAGGTTAAGTGTGATGACATGTGCACACTGAAACGTCCGAACAAAAATTAATCTGACAAAAAAAATTATAAACTAATAAATAACTTGCTATTTCCAAAAACTTTCTGTACAAGTATAGTATATTCTCAATTAAAAAAACAGAACCTAAAGGGGGTAGCAAAAATATGTTCCGTTTAACAGGAGTGACATCTATTGAGAGATGTGAACAGGGGTGTACAATTCAAGTACGAAACCTATCATATTATAAGTGGTTGTTCCGGCTAAGCAGGAATTTCATTTAATGTATAAGTTTCCATTTACTGGGAGCCTAAAGCATGCTATAGTACTTGTTAAAGTGCATCTATAACAAGGCCATTTTTTATTTACATTTTTTATTTTTATGTAAACGATAAGTCATTACATCAATGTTTATTACATTAAGGTTTTTAGTGTACTGCCAACACTGATGTCATGGACTCAAAGCAGACAGACCTCGTCCACGGTGGCAAGCTTGCAGGCTAACGGATACACTGCTGCACCTTCACTTTCTTTTTGCGGAAAGAACAGTTTCTGGCGATAATTTTTGAAACTTGTATAACCTTTTTGCGACGTAAGAGGCTACAAATTGTATATCTTGAATTATATTTAACCTAAGTATTTTTTATGTTATCCTTCTTTTTAAAATGATTGTATTAACTTTTCAATATAAAAATTTGCTTAATGTGTGTATTAAATATATATGCAACATTTACGTTATTGGACAAATAATTATTTTAGCTACAATTTGGTACCAAAGAATGTAAATAAGGCATTGCTATCTTGCTGCAAAAAAAATGCTTTTTGCACCTAGTAAAAACGGCCTGTTTTCCCACGGTAGCGAGAGAGTCAAGTAACCCTATGGTTTAGGCAAACAAATGAGGCCTTCAGGATGTCGTTAACTAGTAAACCCTGCAATCTGATATAAAGGACACTTGGTGAAGACATAACTTGCAATAAGTCTCCAATGTGCAAATCCCTACAATCGCACCCTAATCCATGCATGCGCACACACCTTGTACTTTGAAAGGTGCTCCTCCAGGTGCCGCTTGAGGTGGCACCGCAGAGGGTGCCAAAAGAGCTCCCGGCCGACCAGTGCCCGTGACACTGCGTGCACCAGGCAGTGGCCGTCTCCGTCTACATGCACGGGCAAAAGCCGGTCCTCTCCATCATTGTGGGCCCTCACAAGGGCCAGAGTGCCGCGCAGGTACGACAGACTCCCTGAGACGTCCTTGCCGTAGCCCGCCACGTCAACCAGCTCGGGGTCAATGCGGAAGGCACGCACGCCCAGCACGCTGCAGTCGAAGTAGGTGCCCGCACCCATCTCCGATAGCAGTCGGGCCTTGCCGGATTGCTTGTCCATGCCATACGTGGTGAGCAACGGCGAGACGAGCTTGCAGTGGTAGTTAGACAATCCACGCACCTTAATGGTGTCTTCGCCGTGCTTGGGCACAAGGTTGCCTGTGCAGCAATTAATGAAGCTAAGTCTCAATTGTGCACAATGCAACCTTGACTTACTAGGCATACTTCCTGTATTTCCTGTATTGAAGGCTGCTACTGTATATCATAACACACGCTTCAAATAAAGCGCTGCCTGCCAACACTGGCTAGTACTGCCAGTGTGAACTTCACATCATAAAAGTGAGGCCACGATGTGCACATGAACTAGAATTTTTCAGTCTAGCATTTCTACAGACGATCTGCACAGACGTTGGCAAGAGAGCAGACCTGAAGATTGCACTCACTGAGAATCTGTCTAAGCAAAGCGTCACCACTCAATTTCACTACAACTATCAGTTAGAGATGTTTGCCTACAGTTATCATCAGCTTTAATTGCTTTCCCTGCGGCCATCGGTGGCACACTAGACACACGTACTCCCATGATTTACTGACATGCTTAGTTACATCATGGTCAAGGGCAAGCCCCCATTAAAACAAAAGTTCCTGGCTGTCCTATTTTCTATAGTACAGATTCTATCATTCGGTGCTATCCTCCAAAGTGTAAATGCCAATTGCTAACACGTTCCAAATGCCAATGTAAGTATCACACCTCAAACAACCTCAAACAGGGCAGTCTTTTTTTTAGTTCTCAATATCTAGAAAAACAAGCACCACTCACTAATGAGGATGTTTCGGATGAGCGAGTGAAAGGCAATTCCCGGATTGGACACCTCCTGCACGTCACGCAGAGCTGTCCGGTCGTGGCGCTGGCCACACTGGGGGCATTCGACACTCTGGTCGTAGGACGGAAAAAACAGGCGCGCACAGCACGCCTCGTCGAGACACGTCGCACTCAGCACGCGCGGCTGTGCGGGCTCCTTGGGTGCACCCCCACCTCCTGCCAATGTTGTGTCCATCCTCTCTGCTGTTGGCCCCAGTGCGCGGGATCAGCTGCACAGAGACGGGAAGAGTGCTTCGAAGACATAGTCTACGGTAAAAGATTGTCGCACAGGGTTCTCAAACACATGGCAAGTGAGTCGTACACAACCTGTTTTGTGCATGATTGTCTTGCTCCACTATAATTTTTATTTCACAGCTCTTTAAGCCAACTGTTAGTCCATGCTGAGTGAACAGAAAACTATCATCATCATGAACTGGAATGTGCTTCTTAATAATTTTTTTTTATCTTCTGCTCTAAAGTCAAAGAACGAAATCAATAGACAGTGAGAAAAAGATATAGAAAGAAGAGTTGGAGGATTGCGCTCAAAAACACAGCACACAAAAAACAGAGACACACACACAAACCTGCAAAGTTTGCGCAGGTGTTGTCATCTCTATATTTCACGTTATGTGTTTTTTTGCACAATACTCCATTTCTGAAAGAATGCACCAACTAGCTCATAAATGTGTGCTATATATAAAGAAATGCATAAAGGGATACAATACACTAAAGCAGGGTAATTAATGTTCCCTGTACTTTCTGTGGCTTCATTGTCTGCCGGTTTTCATTGAGACTGTGTCAAAAAAAAAAACGTAATCCCTCAAAACTCTCTTTCTCTATTCGTTCACAGCGTGCGTCTCTTCTGGCAGACTTGATGCCTTCAGGTGGTACGCAAGGGTATATCGGTGAGCTGTCTGCTTCTTGAAGATTCGCAATCTACACGACGCCAGGTGGCAAAAAGAAAAGAGTGCTCTGCACTCGCCGTCACGGCTACGAGCGGCGCTGACTGACACTTCTAGGTTTAAATGCATATAAATACCCGATGAAGTGGATGAGGGGATGGCCATGGGCCACCGTAGCTCAATTGGTGAGATCGGGCACGTAATCCAAAGGTTGCAGGTTTGCTCTGCCGGTGACAAGTCTTCATACCGTCCACTTTACTTCCTTCCCATCTATTACATGATTACTATACCACGATTACTACAACACATAAAAAAAAGTACATTTAATGTCCCTCATACCTTCCTTGGCTTTATTCGCTGGTTTTCAATAGGGTCAAACACACAGAGCACATTTATCTGTGGGTCTCATCTGCACTGCTCATCGCTTAGAGACGCATACATAACATCAGCCTTGTCTATGCAATCATGCAGCCCCGCCGCGGTGGTCTAGTGGCTAAGGTACTCGGCTGCTGACCCGCAGGTCGCGGGATCAAATCCCGGCTGCGTTTCCGATGGAGGCGGAAATATTGTAGGCCCGTGTGCTCAGATTTGGGCGCACGTTAAAGAACCCCAGGTGGTCAAAATTTCCGGAGCCCTCCACTTCGGCGTCTCTCATAATCATATGGTGGTTTTGGGACGTTAAACCCCACATATCAATCAATATGCAATCATGCATTCCGGAAGCCAGTGTGACGATATGACTGTCGCATTATTGATCTTGGTGCTTCTCGCAAACTATCATATTCTGGGGTTGGCACTCGCGCTATTTTATTTAAAAATTGCTGCGGTGCACAATGCATTTGCTGTGTAAAATGCTAAAGCAATCCACCAATAAGTGCATGTCGTAACTCAAACAATGAGTCTCGGACGGGAATCCTACCAATATTTGTGACCAATATGAATTTTAGGAAGCCCTAAAACACCCCCATCCCCCCTATGACAATAACAATTTTGCATACACCCACACACATTGCATACCAAGTACTGCATCCTCACAAGTGATAAAAAGATGTTGCATGGCACAAAGGAGCCACAAAAATATGATAATAATAAAGTTTAAAAAATCAATCCTGTGGTCCTATGGGCATTACTGAGCCCTTTTAGTTGCAAAATAGTGACATGAACAAAATCCAGTGGGTGATGTCAGCACGGCAAATGTAGATGATGGGCCAGATCGTGATGGACGGGAACGCAAACATGGTAAACACTGACAGCATGTTCTGTGACAGCTCGTTCAGTGCGAGCCATTGATGTCTTCGTGGACTTTCTATTCAGTTGGCCTCATGTGGGGAGCGATCCAAGGAATAGAGTAAGGCCGCTTTCTTCGGGAGATTTTATGTAAGCTGTAGACTTTGCCACAGTACATGAAGTTTTTGTAAGTTCAATGAGTTTCAATGAGTTTGCAAGCCGAAAGTGTCGATCCCCCAAAGACACTCAGGATACGTTTCGTGTCAGTGACAAAGATAAAGGTTATCCTTTATGATATTTGTCATCCATGCAAGGCTCGCCGTTCAGTGAAACTTCTACAGTATGCATTAGGAGATCTGCTTTATCAAACCATTAATAAATAGTCGTAGCTACCATGTAAACAGGATGGAAGAGTATGTTACCATGGATTCGGTGGCCAAATGTCTGTGCCACAAATATTTGCTGCGCTTAAATGTGAACTTTGGACTGCAACACAATTGAAAGAGATGATTGATCGTTCACTAGATTAACTGAGCGTTTTTTTCAGTGATTGGGGAGTGTGGCATGATATCAAATCTGCATACACAAGATATAGCTGGCTGATGTTAGTTATTCCCAGAAAGGTGATGATCGCTGTTTTCCAAACGACATATAGCATGCCATGACGATTGACACACTCATGACATGTACATGTTAAGTAAGACAATCAGATGTCGTGCAAAATGAACACGTGCTTTTGTTCTCAAGCCACTGTGCGCGCTAACGAAGATTTATGCAAGACCAATCACCACGCCGATCAGTCTACGCGCTTACGCATGTCGCAGCCTGTGCGACTGTTTTTCCGACGTTGTTGTCAAAACGCCCCCATGGGTACCGCGGAATCGAATAAAAAAATACAGAATCGGAGCTCTGAATAAAGGCTCTACAGCTATTCGGAAACTTTATACCATTCCGGCTAACGGCTAGTACTGCGCCGAGAAAAAGGCTTTCTTGCCACTACGGTAACGCAATGTGACTCACACTGGAACACATTACTATGATATCCGCGCGCCAACAGCTAAACCACAGACTTAACCATTTATTCGCAGGCCGCTAGTACCCACAAAGGAGATCACAAGCGAAAAGACTCGCTATTTCAGGCACGCCTTCGAAGCTCCTTAAGACACTTCCCGATTCGTTAACGAGGCAAAGAAAAGAAACAGGAAGCGCTTCCGCGCTATATGCAGAACAGCTCGAAACGAGAACATAAGCCGCGGAATTTCTCACCGAGTTTTTCTTCCGTCGGCGGCGGTACAGCAAAACGCGTGGTCAGCGAACAAAGCGATTTCAGCTGCCGATGTCAGATGACGTTTCTGAACCAAGAACACCAGATTATCTTCTCGAAGCTACAAAGGACAGCCGGAGGGAAATCGGTACTTCCCAATCACCATAATCTCGGTTGTAAACAAGCTCCGCGTTTTTCTCTCGGTTGCCCGCCCGCTCGAAAACACATCGTTTCGCCTTCTCGCGAGAAAAACTTACGTCAATTGTAGCGAAGCTTGTGAAAGGTTCAGAAGCGAGTCCGTTGCATCCATCTCAGTGATGACTCGGCCGTCCCATGACTATCAATTGAACGACTACCAAAGGCGCACGCTTCTTTAGAGCCGAGCCAGCTGGGGAAGAGCGGTAAATCCCAACAACAGGGCACCGGAAAATCTCCAAAAGCCACCGCCGCAACACCAGCAGTATAGCAGCAAGGAACTACAGCGACGCCAAGCGACCTCGGGCGCGTTCGTATTGACAATTTTGAATCTGATGACTCGCTTCTATTTCACATAATGTGACGTCACTTAAACTTGGATGGCATGTGAATGCGTTCATTTGTTTCACCGGCCACAGTCACGTCCGGATTTCTGAAATAAGAAACTAAAACCGTACAGCAAGTGAACGCGTACAAATTCCTCTCGATTAATCTTGGGCTTCTCGCAAGATGTCTCAGAACGTGATCCGCGGTAATGTGCGATAAGCACGAAAATACTACGAATTATACATGTCTTATCATTAATTGCAATTAAAGTAAACTACAGTAGTACACTGTAACGTAAGCTGTGCTACAGTGTCTAGTATATTTGTAGACACTGCAGCTGTGCCCTAATAGCGGCCGCAGCTGAATCTGCAAGAAAGTTGCGCAAATGACGGTGGACTAAAACATAGGTGCTATATTATTATCAGTCGGTCCTATTTGCCGACAGAACGAACGCACCGGCGAAAAAAAAAAAGTCAATTTTTCAGTCATACGATTGAGAGGTTTCGGTTTCGTTTTTGAATGTATTTTTAAAAGAAAGTACACACGAAAGCGTCGGTGTTCATTTCATTTGACTTGTTATAAAATATTTCAAAAATAATATGGGTTGCCGAAATTTAGGCGTCATCACAAAGCTTTTTTAACAAAACGGTTAATGTCCGATTGTACGTTGAAAACATAACGACCAGTAAGTCACTTGGGGCCAGCTAGTTCGCAAATATGCACGGCTCCTTCGTGATTATTTAAAGCTTTTTCGCCCCACACATGACGTGTTTTCAGTACAATCATAGCCTTAGAGACCACTTTCTATAAAAAATTTCAAACCATCTTCCCAAAGGGAACCCTGATGGGATGCGAAAGAGAAACGTTCCGCACGGGTGGCGTCACGGTTTGAATGGCGCTAACGCGGGTGCTGTGGTGAGCCTGGAATAATCGCGAGTGGCGGTCGCGGTAGCGACAAATGTTGCGGGCTAACGGATGAGACTGCAGCTGCGGGCGCTGCGGCGAGCGCATGGCAGGCGAGGGAGTGAGTCATGTCAGCGCGCACAGCAAGGGGAGCGTGACATCAACGCGCAGCTGTGGCGTGACCTACTTGGTACTGCCCCAACACCTGCGTCGAGCGGAGCGCGTTGCGGCGCGTTTGTACGGACGCATGGAGGTAAAGCGTGACACAGGCTAGTCAAAGAGCTGCTTTCCATTTAATAGGAGAGAGCTGCCACCACGGCCGGAGAGGGGACTTAAATACGTCCAAGTCCTCGCGGAAGCTGTAGTATCACCTACATCAAATATGTACCCGCTACTTTTACAGAATGCACTGTTCTCTTGCCTCTAACACCTAGCCTCGAGAACGATGCAAATAAAATGAACGAGAACGATGCTAATTAGATAAACGACAAAGAAATCCTGGGTCAGAGTGGGGATCACACTTGCGTCGTTTGGGTCATAGTAGGGGTCGAACTTCGGTCGTTTATGTCTAGTGGATGTTCTCCCACACAGCTATGCGTCTGCTTGTGAATACAGTGAAAAGAACTTACTTTGCTTGGAAATGCAGTGAAAGTAACTTTCATGCTTTACAAACTCACGCGTGCTGTGTACATGCTTCACAAATACAACATGAAATATTGCAGTACTAATGCATAGCTTCATGGTTTAAAGCCATTCACCCGCTACAACACACACACACGCTACTGCAAACTCAAGGCCGCGTAGTCGGTGCATCGCAAGTTTGAAAAGATTCCATGCACTAAGTGTTTGAAGTACGCGCAAGAAACAAGATATCAATCAATCAATCAATCAGTTTATTATCATGTCATAAAAGGATGCTACAGGGAGTGAAATATACAGACGAGGGTCCCAATGTACAAGACTGCAACGTGACTGCAGTAAAAGACTGCAAGATCGCTATCGCATTGAGCTTTTAAAGGCGAAGCTTGAGAATTTTTCTTTAGCATCGGCCACATCGACGATTACATACGCGTTTTCCACTGTAGGATCGATCTGATATTTCATTTTAGCATCGGCCACAGTGACGATTGCATACACGTCTTCCACTGTAGGAGTCATCTGTTAGTATTTTATTATAACGGATTGCCAGAGCGAAAGTTCACTGACAGACGGACACTTGTGCGGTGTTCGCAAACGAAACAATTGGCCGCGTATCTGCCCACTTCGTTGCAAATCTCCTCAAAAGATAGTCTTCTTTCTGGAGAGGCTGGACGGATAGATGGATGGATGGATGGATGGATGGATGGATGGATGGATGGATGGATGGATGGATGGATGGATGGATGGATGGATGGATGGATGGATGGATGGATGGATGGATGGATGGATGGATGGATGGATGGATGGATGGATGGATGGATGGACGGACGGACGGACGGACGGATGGACGGACGAATGGATGGATGGACGGACGGACGGACGGACGGACGGATTGATGGATGGATGGATAGATGGATGGATGGATGGATGGATGGATATGACTGTATCCTTTAGATCGGGCGGTGGCTAACGCCACCAAGACATAATACTTAGTGAATCAAAAACTAGATTTATCTTTTTCCCCTTTAATTAGTGAGGCTGAGGACTGTTACTTTGCAGTGAAGGGTTTCATGTTCATTCGTGCCTTGACTTTAGCCACCAATCAGATAACCTCTATCTAGTCAATTCTACCCGCTTAATGTCTATTTTGCCCTCCCTGCCCAGTGCTTTGAAAAACTCTGCGCGATCATCCTGAACATAGGATGAAGCCCTTTAAAGAACATCACTAAGTGTTCCACAGTTTCCTCCTCCACTCCGCATGCACTGCATACCGTGTCTACCCCTTCGTATTTGGTCCGATATGTCTTAGTTCGCAGTACTCCCTTCCGTGCCTCAAACATTAGAGAACTACCCCGAGTATTATCATAGATCCTTTCCTTGGCAATTTCCTGCTTAAAAGTTCGATAGAACTCTAGTGCGGATTTCTTAATCATGCCAATTCTCCACATATCGGTCTCAGCTTTCTTAACCTTTATCTTAACCGATAGTTCTTTTTGGTTTGGCCCCCTGCTGTTTTCTAAGTTTTTACCCATCAATTTTCTGGTTCGCTTCCTCCATTTAGTATCGACATTCTTCATGTACAAGTAGCTGAAAACCTTCCTAGCCCAACACTGCTCCCCCATTTCTCTCAGTTGCTTCTCAAATTTTATCTTGCTGCTATCTTCCCTGCCCTCAAATGATGTTCATCCCATATCACCTTGTACTCCCTGATTTGGTATATTCCTGTGAGCTCCAAAAGCAAGCCTACCTATTCCAAATTGCTTAATTTCTAATCTTGCTTGAACTTCTGATCTCTTGCCCAAGACCGCATTGCCGAACATCAGACCAGGAACCATGACCCCTTTCCATATTCCTCTCACAACATCATACCTATTGTAATTCCACAGTGCCCCGTTTTTCATTACCGCTGCATTCCTGTTACCTTTACTCGACACGTATATTTCGTGTTCCCTTAGGTACTCGGCCCCATTGCTTATCCATACGCCCAGATATTTGTATTTATCTGTTATCTCTAGCGTGACCTCCTGTATGCTAAGCTCACTACCTTCATTGTCATTAAAAATCATGACTGCTGATTTTTACTTACTGAATCTGAAATCTAACCTATCTCCCTCATTACCACAGATGCCCATCAATCTCTGCAAATATTCCTTGTCGGTCATTAGCACTATATCATCTGCGTACATCAATGCTGGTAGTGCCTGTTCAATGAGTTTTCCTTGTTTGACGAACGAGAGGTTGAAGGCAAGTCCACTTTCCTCTAATTTGGGCTCTAATCCTTGTAGGTACATCATGAATAACAAGGGTGACAGAGGACACCCTTGCATAAGCCCCCGTTTTACCTCTGTGGGTTTGGATACATGTTTTCCCCACTTCATATCTACTTTGTTACCTTTATAGATATCCTTTAAAAGATCCATCTTACACACCCAGCGTGCCCAGTATTCCTCACAAGTCCTCATCAAGCACGCTATCGCGCGCTCCCTTGATATCCAAAAATGCTAGCCACAGGTGCCTGTGTTCCTTTTCTGCTATTTCGATGCACTGCGTAAGTGAGAACAGATTGTCTTCCAACCTCCTGTGTTTCCGAAACCCATTCTGTAGTTCCCCCGGCACCCCCTCATCCTCTATCCATGCCTGAAGTCCTCCCTTTATAATCTGCATCGCCAGCTTGCAGACCATTGATGTCCCTGTCATAGGGCGGTAGTTGTTTATGTCAGCTTTGTCCCCCTTTCCTTTATAAATATTGCTCATCCTGCTAAGTTTCCATCAATCGGGGAATTCACCATCGATTGATATTTTGCTCACTGCCTCTCTCAAAGTCTGCTCAGACTTCGGACCCAATGTCTTTATCTGCTAATTGGAATGCCATAAGGGCGTTAACGTACTGCTAGGAACCCTCTTCTCAGCCCTTTCCCACTCTCATTGTGAAATCGGAGCCATCGCACTACTTCCTTGTCTATTGTGATGCATAAGGCACTTTGTTGAAACTTTTCTGTTACCCTTGTTATTATATATTCAATAGCTTCGTCCCCTTCTAGCCTAGCCCCGTGAGCTGTAGTTATAAACCTCTGCTCTAAGCTCGTCTCATTTCTTGAAGAGTTTAGATGGTTCCAAAATTTTGCAGCTGCCGTTCTATCTTTTTTATGTACTTCTGCCAGCCACTGAGCTCCGTTTCTTCTAATCTTTTCATTGACAAGAAGGGATGCTTACCTTCTACAGCTTAGAAAAATATCCCATTTTCTTTCAACATCATCTGTCGGTTCAGCCCACTGCTTAGCATGTCTGTGTTCCCCAGAGGCTTCCTGATGTTTTGCTATGGCTTTCTTAACTTCCTCATCCTACCAACTCTTGGGTTTGTGTCTTCTTTTCGAAGGTGACTCGTCACGTGCCTTAGCAAGCTCTTGCTCAGACAGTCTCAT